GCCTTGCGCATGGTGCGCGTAAGGGACCTTTGCGCCCCGCATTGCGCCTTGCGCCTCGATAACACTGTGACCTTGTACTTGAAACTAGTGGCTGTAGAGATATGCTTCATTTACTAATAAAAGCCACTGGCAATTGTTCCAGTTCATATGTTCATTGCTAACTCCACATATCCAACTGCAAGAATTCAACTTCGCAGAATCCAGACAAATGAAAACACAGAATTTACAATATGATCTGCAGAACGTAGCCACACCCAAAGCTATAAACTCTGCAAGATTCTAACTTCACACACAGAAATCACATACCATCAGGTATACCAAATCAACCATATTTGCATATTTACCCCAAATTTAAGCTAAGGAACATTCCCGTTCCAAATGTTTCTATTGAATTGGAGAGTAAATTTGTAAATATCTAGATCTCGTAAGTAAAAACCGTTGGTATTGGGGGAGTATAGGTACAAAGACAAAAAAAATTAATGAAAAGGGACAACTTTCCAAACCATAATCGAACAAAGATAAGATCATTACCTGATCCCCAATTTTCCAGCGGGAGACATTACGACCAACGGCGATGACGGTGCCGGAGCACTCGAGGCCAGGATAAGGGCTAGCTCCCGCCGGCGGAGGATAAGACCCCTTTCTCTGGACGCAATCGGCGCGGTTGAGGGCGGTGGCGGCGACCTCGATGAGGACATCGCCGTCGCCGACGACGGGATCGTCGACCTCTTGGAGCTGGAGGACCTCGGGATCGCCGTAGGATGTTATCACTACTGCTTTCATTGTTTATTTTCGCGGATTGTTTTTTTTTTCCTCCTAGGGTTTTGGAGCGGTGAAAGTGAGGGGAGTGAGAGAGGCAGGAGAGCGGGGTCGGTGGTGGTCGGCGGTGAGGGATGGCAGTTCTGTAATTAGTATTTGGATAGTTTGCACTTTGATCTCATAAACTCGTTTCATTTTTATTTTAAAATATAATAAGTGGGATACATTTAAAATAAGGTTAAGGAATGTTTGACACTAAGGGCTTGTTTGGATTGACGGGAATGTGGGTGAAGGGAAGTTAGGGGAACCATTCACCTCCATTCACTTTGTTTGGGAACACTTAGGGCTTGTTTGGATTGAGGGGAATGAGGGTGAAGGGAAGTTAGGGGAACCATTCACCTCCATTCACCTTGTTTGGGAACACTTAGGAGGTGAAGTTAATTCACCTCCATTCACCTTGGTTCACCTCCTAATAGTATAAAAATTGTTACCCCAAAATTGGGGTGTAACCAAGGGGAAGAGAATTCCCTTCCCTTCCCTTCCTTTCCCTTCCCTTCCCTTCACTCAGTTTCCCTTAACTTCCCTTCACCCCTTCCCTTCCCTTCACTCAGTTTCCCTTAACTTCCCTTCACCCCCTACGAATCCAAACAGGCCCTTAGGAGGGGAAGTTAATTCACCTTCATTCATTTTGGTTCACCCCCTAATAGTATAAAAATTGTTACCCCCAAATTGGGGTGTAACCAAGGGGAAGGGAATTCCCTTCCCTTCCCTTCCCTTTCCTTCACTCAGTTTCCCTTAACTTCCCTTCACCCCCTACGAATCCAAACAGGCCCTAAATTCAACAAACACTACCAACTAGAAGTTTTAAAATTAGCTTGGGAGTGTTTTGCGAAAAAGTTCAAAGTAAAATAATGACGTTTTTATAGCATAATGTCTTAAAGTGTGTAACTTTTAAAAATGTTTATGCTGTCAAAAACAAACGAGAGTATATAAGTGCAAGGTAGGAAAAACTATAATGTAAATATACTACTCATTATAGATTTAGGTTTTTCCGGATGTATATCCTTGAAGTCTATAATAATTTTAGATTTTATTATCCACATCTTCATGTGTCTTATCTTCCCTTCATCTTTTCGCCCCTGCGGGCCCTGCCTATCATTTTCATAAGGGAAAATTTGTAAAATAGATCATTTTTATGAAATATATAACAAAATAGATCACTTTGAAAAATAATTAGCAAAATAGATCTCTTTTGAAAAAAAGAGATCGATTTTGAAAAATAAGGCTCAGAAAACATACCGGACTACTAGTCCGGTATGTTTAGAGCCAACTAATCACGGATTAGTGACCCAGAAAACATACGGGACTCGTAGTCCCGTATGTTTTCTGAGTAGAAAATTTTACTAATCCGTAATTAAAACATACGGGACTACTAGTCCCGTATGTTTTCTGAGCTATTTTGCAAAATAGACTTCTTTTTTACCTGTTGGCCAAAAAAAGATCTATTTTGCTAATTATTTAGCAAAACGGTCTATTTTGCTAAATAATTAGCAAAAACGGTCTATTTTGCAATTTTTCCCTTTCCCTTTTCATAATCACATCAGTGTGTGGAGATGGTCATATTCCTTCAAGTTTTCCTGCCCTCGTTTCTCTCAGGCAACATACATGTAATTTGCTTTTAACCAGCACAAATTAGCCTGTCATTATGATTTCAAATCCAAGTAAAAACTTTTGGCTCATCATCAGAGGATATCATAAAGTTCATTCAGCTCAACTCTTACATAAATTTTTTTGGCAAGCACTTGGTCTGCATTCTAGAAATTCACCAACTTGTTCATAACAAAACTTGTTACAAATAACTCAACTTCTCCCCTTTTGGCAGTTTCAACAAAATCACTCGTAAAACCACGAAGAACAAGAGCAACCAAAAGAAAGAATCCGATACGTAAATAATCTATCCGCAGCAACAAACCATCGCTCAAGTTTATTGTTGCAGAAACTAGAAGTTCTCAGCAGATTGCAGCATTGCTCAAACCAGGATCAAGAAACGCAATAGCGGAAATGTTCCTGCAAATTTCCCAAGGAAAAATCAATAAAGTAAGCAAGGGAATCAAGAAATGCACTATAATGATTAACGCATATCGTGAAGGAACTATTATTGTGTTCAACCCAGACTGTCCACACAAAGACATCACGTTCATCCTACACGTTTCTGCATGAAACTACAGAGGCAAAGAGCTTATCTTTCAATAGTAGAAAGAACGAAGGGTTAACTGCAGACAGGCCAAATGAACTTACTATCCATGTAGTTTTATTGTTGCAGATAGGCCCCGAGTGCAATTTTTTTGACCCTTTACAGGGGGCCTATCTGCAACAATAGTACTCTTTCGGGAGGTCTATCTGCAACAATAGAATTACATGGGTAGTAAGTTCAATTTAGCGATAGTACAGAAGAGTGCAGGGGGACTGCACGCAATTAACCCGAAGATTGAATCCAGAGGATCCACAAGAATTTGGTTTATTCAAAGAAAAAACCTTGTTCTTTGCTATATATGATAAACGAGTCGCTGGCGTCAAAATGTCCCAGCCCAATAGGGAAATCCCAATTCAGTCATGAGTATATGGGACCAGACATGGGACACACAGCATCTGTTTCTTCATTTCTTTAATGGGACTCTACATAAAGTCAAGGCCAAATAAAGGGCAAAAAAACAAATTTTCACGTAGAACACAACAATCTAACGAAGACCAATAATAAACCAATAATTTATAAAGACTGAAGGAAGTTTGAAAGCATTCTCACCTTTCAAGGACCCAGATTTTTTGCTACGAACATGCTAAGGAAGTAACAGTATCTTTCCGATATTGGCACTGCTTGCCATTAACCTGTGTGCCTCCGCTGCTTCAGACAGGGGAAGATACTTGTACACCACAGGCTTCACTCGGCCTGCTGCTATAGCTGGCCAAACATACTTCTCCACTTCTCCAACAATCACTGCTTTGCTTTCAGGGCTTCTATGCCTCAACCTGGCAGCTTTATACAAATTGCATTTTAGAACAAAGATGAAAGAAAACAAAACAAAAAAATTTATTGGTAATAGTGAATATTATCGACTAACTCTTTGCTTAGAAACTGAATGTAAAAGAAACTGAATGTAGAATAAACAATGAACTTCCTGAAAGAAACTTTTAAGGGGAAAACTTAATCCTAAAAAATAATCCCAAAAAACTCCACATTTATTTTCAAAAATTGTTCTTCGACAGATTAAATTGTCATATAGGAGTCAGACTTCAACTGTTGAGGAGAAAAACCTCTCTAGATGTCTCTCTATAGAAAACCAGACGGGGATGAAGAAGAATGTGACTCGAATCTCGTTATCAATTCTATATCAGTGCAGTTGATGCAAAAATATCAGTGAAAACAGTGCATATTAGTGCAAGCAAACAGTGAAATTGGTGCAAATAAAATGTGTTACTAGTGCAAACAATACGTGAATCAGTTTATATAGGAGATGGAGGGCCAATGGAACTGCTAACATGATTGCTGACAAAGAATCCTTTCTAAGTGAAGATAAAGGGTAGCAATTATAATACCTTGAACAGTAAGCCTCTTGGAAAGTAAACATGAAAGGTTAACATCTGCAACCATGCCTTCCATGCAACCAATGATAAAAAGCCTTCCATCCATAGCCAAGCTGTCAAGATTTCGCTGCAAGTATGGCCCACCAATGTGATCCAGTACAACATCAACACCTGAACAGTAGTCAGTAGATCATTCAATTTAGAAATGCACATGATCATACTCAAGCTTATAGGATCAATAGAACATAGAAAACTATCGTGTGGATTCTTTGTGGTGGACAGTTAGTGGTCCAAAGAAAGAACTCTTGCGCATCTCTAATTTTATTGTTCTTGCACTGATTCAAGGATCCAACCTTTGGACCACCAGTTGTCAATTATATAGGATCCACTCGATATTTTCTCAAGGGAACACACCTTTATCTCCAGTCTCTTCTTTGACCCGTTCAACAAAGTCTTCAGTCTTATAATTTATGCAAACATCAGCACCAAGATTCTTGCATGCAGCTAGTTTTTCTTTGTTTCCTGAAATCAAAAAATGTTACACAGATGAGAGCGTGAACATGGTTAACAATGAATGTTTAAAAAGCTCCACTTTATTACCATGGTCACACCTGCTGTAACGAATACTTTAACTCCAAGGTACTTAGCTATCTGGATGGCGAAGGTGCCGATTCCACTGGATCCCCCATGAATCTGCAATCTACTCTGGTCTTAGAATGAGTATTTAAAAATTTAGCTAAAGCATTTCCATATACACAGATGTCTTCCTCCACATGCATTTTCATTTTCCTCAAATGTTTTTTTGTTTTTTTGCTTTCGCTCCCTATTTTCCTCAATTTAATATTACATCGGTTGATAATAGTCAATATATATGTAGTTATGTACTAGTCATTATTAGATGATATTAATGGTATTCATTGCTCATGCACATCAGATTGGCATTCTTAAATCTGACATGATACAGTCGATGTGTATCGACATCAATAAATACTTCAAACCTCAATCCATTTGTTCCTATGGGTTATAATGCTTAGCATTCCACATTTAAGATATGCTTCTCCTATTGAAATAAAACATTAGCAAAAAGAAATGTAAATATAGGATAAATGTGAAAAACAACGAGGCTGAATGATGACAATCAAATATTGCTATCAGATGAACTTTCTCTATTAATTTATACCATAATTACTTATTTCATACATGTTTTCGCCCATTTGTTTGCATTTTTCTACTGGGCTACCACAAAAGCTCACAATTTACTAGCGGGCTTTCCTCTTTCCCCTGTATTCTCCCTTTCAACGGCTAACTATGGTGATAGCCTGGTTATCTTCATAACAAGTGAATGCTTGTTATCTTTATCGAGATAAAACCCTATCTAATATAGAAAAAAGGGTCTCAGCAGATGTGGTTTCCTTAATATTCCTTTCAGCAAAAGAAGGAAAAACTTTTCAAGTTCTCATTTAGTTCATAATCTTCTCATTATAAAGATTTTAAATTACAGATTATCATGACAAATCGAAACACTCACGAGAAAGGTCTGCCCTGTGGACAATTGACTCATCATGAAGACAGTCGACCAAACAGTACATGCTACTTCAGGAAAACTTGCGGCTTCTATCAAGGAGACACCTTGAGGAATGGGAAGAACCTGGGAAGCTGGAACCGCCACCTTCTCTGCATACCCTCCTCCATTAAGAAGAGCACAGACCTACAAATGATCAGGGAACAAATACTATTAAATAAATGGATCTAATTTCATTTCAGGTTTCTCAATCAAGCAGTTGTACAGTTATTCTCCATGAAGAGAAGTAATCAAGTAAAGTAAGAAATAAGAATACTTCAACGGTATGCCATTATATTTGTAAGAGAATCCAATTTTATTCCAAATATTAAATAGTTGAAGCAGCAGATGGTGCAAACTAACAGAAAAAATAATACTTCACAAATCACTGTAAGCCAGCAATCAATTTTTTCGTAAATCTGGTGCCAAACGTTTAACACACTTGTTCCTCCTTGATGGGGCGGTGATGGAAGATAATGCATCTATATATTTCAGGATCGTGCCTGGCGCTAATATTTCAAGAGTATATTTAACTTGCACCACTGGTGTTTTGTGAGACGCCCTAAGCTGAATCTAATGCGATGAACGATGCACAGTAAATAGCCACGCAAATGTTGCACTGATAATTTGAGTTGTTTATTTCCAGTGCTACTTGGATACCTAAATATTTAGCTCTATAACATGCCAAGTGCACGAACACTTGATTACTTATCGCATGCATGGCTTCACACGTTCATACATGCACCTTCACAATGAATAACAGTGCTCAAATAAATCGACATTATTAATCTCTTAAGCAAAGAAGCCCCAATTCTCACTACAATCAGTATCAAAAAACTACAAACACCGCTAACTAATTCCAAATCATCCACAAACAGAAGAAAGTGGCTAACTAATACCCATTTCAACCCCGAAAACCCCAGACCTTCAACCCCAGCAAATACCTGGTCCCCAATCCTCCAGCGATCCACAGACCGGCCAGCGTCGATAACGGTGCCGGAGCACTCGAGGCCAGGGTACGGGCTCGACTCCTTCGGGATCATAATCTCTGTCCGCCGGTACCTCGCCGCGATTGAGAGGCGGATGGCGGCGACCTTGATGAGGACATCGCCGTCTCCGATCGCCAGCGGATCGCCGACTTCTCGAAGTGAGAGATCGCCGGAGGTTGTTACCGTAATAGCTTTCATGCTGCTGGTTACGATTATTCGCCGGCGGCGGTGGTTAGGGTTTTGGAGGAGGAGGGGTTTGAAATGGGGCAGGAGAGGGAGAGGCTTGAACGCGACGGAGGACATTTTCTGAATGGGCCTTTTTTTTTGCCCGGAGCCCGGTTGGAGAAGTTGTTTCTATCGACCCGCACCCGTTAACCACTGATCAGGTCGGGTTGATTCGACGGGTCGAGCCAAAATGGCTCCCATCCCCAATATGTGTGTTGATGTGCATTGTTTGGTTGGTTTTGTTGACGAGAAAATTGGCTATGAACTGACAGCCTATTTTGTAAAATGGACTGTCGACCCGAAGACATACGAGCCTCACATTTATGTGACTAGTAGGGACGCTCATATGGCATAGACCTGACAGTCTGTTTTGCAAAACGAGTTGTTAACTCTTATACATTTTCTCCCTTGTTGATAGATAATGCTTTTGAGATTAAAGTTTAAACTCATATATTATCAATTTTTATAAAACAATATGAGTTATGGTGATAATTATATTCAGAACGGATTCGTTTAAAATCAAATCTGCAGTATATGATTCGATATTTAGAGTGTTGCTTTGTAGGAGAAATGCAGAGTCCGGCTATAGATAAACATTGGCCTAAAGTTTGCTCATTCTCTACTTTGAAGTTTTAAAATGATTAGATGGTATCCAGCATACAGTCAATCCGCATGATAATATAATCTATAATACAATATAACTTGTTGGCTTTCTTAATGAATAAAATGGGCTAACGCGCCCCACATTTTCTCAAAAATAATTTTTAGTTTTATAAAGCTAAAAATTGTATGCCGCTCTTTTTTTTAACTTTCTTAATCAATAAAATGGGCTAACGCCCCAATTTTCTCAAAAAAATTTCGATATCTCGCGAGAGTTTATTGAATTTAGATAATCCAAAACCCGAAAACATCGTATCCAATATTTTAATGGGTTTGGATCAACCTTGATTTTAGTTTCTCTGGATCCGACCCGGATTGGGATCTAAGATTTCCATTTCCTCAACCCGCAATCCTACTTCTTATTGGTACCAGCGAGGAGCTGTCCTGTTATCAACGAACACGAAATCGAAATTTTCGCGCGAAATTAAGCAAAGCGGAGATCTACAAAATCTCAATCGTGAGTCCTTCTCCATCAAAAATTTTCGACTTTTTTTATATATTTTGATTTTTGATTAAAACACAAAAAATCTGAAAAACCTCAACAAAACCCTAAAGCTAACATTTTGTGGGTTACAGAATTATTTGCTGTAATTTTTCCAAGTGAATCTTTGATGCCTTTTGAATTTTTTCTTGCTTGCTGAATTGCAGCATATAAAAGTTAAAATAAAAGGATAAATTTTCAAAAAAATCCGGTTTACAATAATAATCGCAAAAAAGACTAATTTCCAAAAAACCGACATGGTTTCAGCCTCAGCGTTGAAACCTAGGTCGGTTTCTGAAAAAAATTCAAAACTTCACGTGAGTTGAACTCCCGTGAAGTTTAGTAAGCTTTATTAAACTTTACGGGAGTTCGTGAAGTTTCATAGTTCAAAAAAAAATTTAAACTATGAAACTTTACGAGAGTTGAACTCTCATGAAGTTTAGTAAAACTTACTGAGGGGAGTTCAACTCCCGTGAAGTTTCAATCTAGCAGAAAATGCTAAATAAGCATTAATTTGTAGATTAAAAGTTCAAATCCCGTCCTATGCGCTGAGGCTGAAACCAGATCGGTTTCTGAAAATAAGTTTTTTTTTGGGATTAAAAGTCCAAAGAGGACTGTTTTGAAAATTTGTCCTTAAAATAAAATGTACCAAATAAGCATTAATTTGTAGACAAAAATCTCTTATATTGTTTAAATCTAGCAGAAAATGCCAAGGGTCTGGTGCTTTGGGTTGTTAATTTGCCTTAGCCTTCTCCCTGGAGTTGTCTCTTGGGGAAAAGATGGGCACTTTGCGGTTTGTAAGATCGCAGAGGTGGGTATTTTTTGTATTTGAAAAAAAAAAGAATCTTTATTTTGGATTGCAAAGGCTGATATGACTGTACGGCATCAGGGCCTTTTGACTGACGAAGCTATGTTGGCTGTTAAGATGTTGCTTCCGGAATCTGCTAATGGTGACTTCGCTTCGCTTTGTTCTTGGGCTGATGAGATTCGCCATTGGTACCATTGGCGCTGGACTAGTCCACTGCATTATCTTGATACACCGGATTTCAAGTGCAATTACTATTACTGTCGTATGTTCGGTTTATCTTAATAATTACGGGCATATGCTCCTTGTAGTTATTTACGAGTATCTGTACTGGATATAAAAATGCACCTGGCATGGTTAAAATATATATATGTTTAACCCCAAAGTAGAAAAGAAAGTTTCACATTCATAATGAACGTGTCGGGGTATGCCACCTATATGATATTACTGAGATTTTATAAACTGTTACTTTCTTTGTCTTTAGTTGTATAATTTGGTAGCATAGATTCAACCCTTGTGCCTATGTTTTCTTGGGTTTAATGTTTATGTTTTCTTGGGTAATTGAAATTTGAAATCAGCAATCAGATTCTTCGACATATTTTTCACCTTATTCTTGGACGACTTTTTTGTTGCTTCTGTTGACTTGCGAAAGGGGTTCGTCTAATTCCCTCTTCCATTTCTTTAAATGGAAATGGTAAAGTTTCTTATAGTCATAGCATATGATAAAATGTGTGAACTGTGAAACCTTCAAAATCTTAAATGCAATTTGCCTTTTCATTATTCTCATTGTGAACAATCCTCTCTACATGTTGCTTCTTATTTCCTGTGTTATTATCCACATAGTTATCACAATATACTAAAATGAAGCCCACTTGGTAATTGACATGAATGTGTCTTTTTTATGTGCCATCTAACAGGTGACTGCCATGATTCTTATGGCAAGAGAGACAGATGTGTTTCTGGGGCAATATATAACTATTCTACACAGTTGGAAGCCTATCAACGCCCTGAATCAGAAGAGAAATGTACACGATGTTTTTTTTCAAAATACCAAAATCATGTTTTGGCCTGAAAATTTATCCACTTGGGTAACAGATAAAGTTTTGTTTGTTGTCTGCAGATAATCTTACAGAGGCTCTTTTGTTCTTATCACACTTCATCGGTGACATTCATCAGGTGTGTTTTCTTTGGCTTGAGATGAATCAGTGATAAGAAAGAGGTAAAACAAGTAAATGATATGTCATAATTATTTGAAAATTGCATGTCATACTGATAGAGCCTGTTCACGAAATGTAAATCTATGTTTATATAGATTGGTAGAAGGATAAAAGGAGAGTTTTAAAATAATAACTGGAACAACATTTTGGGTTATTTGGACTGAAATATGTAGAAACTTCTGGAGCTAGGAAACAATGGTATGGAGAACTCAATAAACTAAAAACTCCAAAGGCCATTGTGAACTTACGAAATGGTGTGGTGGTATATGTGTCTGACATCGGACATGACTAGGTCACTCCATTCTTCTAAAATCTGAATGTATTTGAAATAATAATAAACAAGTTTGATTAAAAACACTGGAAAAGCACACAAATACTCAAATTCCAGGCTTTGCCTTTTCATTATGTATTGCTGCTAAAAGATCAAATCTTGGTCACGAAAATCAAGTGGATGCAATGGAGTGGTGGCACGCAAAAACATAGCAATTCAACAATGTCTTTCTATTCTATAAGCTTCTAGGTAGTTCATGATTACTACAACAAACCAAAGCAGTACTGTTTAAGCAATGTTCTAGTTTCCGTAAGGAGCACCGGAGGAGATCATGGAAACTTTTAAGGTTTTCTTAGCCAAGACTTACAGGCTACGACTTAGTCAGAACTTGATGGAAACCTTACTCTCAAGGCAGGGCCACATACTTTTTTTTGTGTGTGTGGTGGACCGGTGGTAGTGGCAGTGGCCGGGGCGGGGGCGCTTGGCCCACCAAACATTTTGTTATTTACATGTTTGGTCAATGGTCAGTTAATGCTTAAATCTTCAATTTTCTAAAATTAGTCCCTCAATCAATGAAATAGCTATAAGGTCGCCTCAAATTCTTAAATTATTTAAAATTAGCCCCTCAAATAATTGAAATTGCTATTAAGTCACCCAATTCTCATGAGTAGTTTTTTTAAATTAAACATGATAATGAGGAGACCTAATGGTAATTTCAATGATTTGTGGGACTAAACTTTAGATAATTTTTAAAATTGGGGAACCTAATAGCAATTTCAATGATTTCAGGGACCAAATTTCAATATATTAAAGATTTAAGGGAGTAATTTGAATTTTTTAATTATGAAATAAATAAGAAACAACTTATGCATGTATCTTTGATTACTGCCCCCCACCCCCCAATCCAATAAAAAAAACATTTCTGGCTCGGCCACTTCTTACTATTTAGCAGGCATCATTAGTTCCAGCTTAATGGTCTTTTTATGGACAGAGCTTTTCATCGTTATCATCAAAACTGAAACATGTCATGAATCAATTTCTTATCATCTATATGTAAATTAAATTCGATATAAGGATACTCAATTTGGCTGAAATTTTCACTTCAAAAATAAAAATAAAATAAGTGTTCACCTTTCTTCTGTATAATAGGCTCCTAAATATATTCTGAATAATCTGATGGAGAAGTCTGTTATACCCTGCCTGTTGTAGTTTCTGTTAGATGTTTTGTTTTGGGTCTCTTCATAGAGACATCTTTTGGTGATTTGGTCTAATACCCTCCAACTCGGAGTCTCGGGCCAAATCACAATCAGATATCTTTTGTAAAAACTCTCTTTTTTGGTTTATATATACATGATAGGGCAGTATGCCTTATTTTCATTCAAAAAAAAAAAAATCTGATGGAGAAGTCTTGTAACCAATGTTCCGAACAATAGTAATAGCCATTCAGATTAAATTCTTGTTCCTTATCATTGAGTATATTAGTGATCTCTTTGTATCTCTTATTCTCTTTCCTTTTCATTACAGCCATTACATGTTGGTTTCACAGGAGATGAAGGCGGAAACACAATAATAGTTCATTGGTATAGGCGAAAGTCAAATTTACATCATGTAAGTTCTGTTTATAATGAGATCACACTTTTACTGTTATGCATAAGTTCTGCCCCCTCTTTTTGATGGGCGAGTGTAATGTTTTAACATAAGAGAGGCTGCTTTTTCCTCCAGATATGGGATAACATGATCATTGAGACTGCATTGAAGAAGTTCTACAACTTGGATATCAAAACAATGGTGCAAGGCATCCAATCAAATATTTCAGTACGTGTTCCATAACATTGTTTATACAATAGATATGATCCAAACTACTTGCCTGAGCTTTTTCACTCATATTAGGAAATTGCAGCTTTCATTGTCTAATCCTACAGGATGAAGCATTCTATAATTAATATCATACTTTTTTGTCTTTCTTTTGTGAGATAATATGTTATTTGTTTTATAAACTATTAAAATATTTTATATAATTTAATTGTATGCAGTGCATTGTGGATATTGGCTCAGGGTCTTATTCTGTCAAGTCCAAGACGAGTTTCTATTAGTTGAATTTGGTTCAGTAGTGCTGTCCCTCGACTTTTATTACTGTTTATCCATTATATCTTTCAAAAGCGTATTCTGCGGTATAATGATAAATGCAAAACTTGATGGAATAAATTTCCTGGTAGAAACCACAGCATTTATTTGGCATTCTAGATGGAAAATTATGGAGTATGTGATCTCTGATGTGACTATTTGAGTATAATTGCATGATGTTGCAAAAGTGATTCTGTTTTGAGAAATGATACTTCATGGACTGAGCATGCAAGTTTGACTATGAGTTATACATCACCTGAATATCATGTATTTATATAATTAATTTATCTGCGGCCCCTTATTTCTATATATACAAAAATAGAAGTTGTCTTTGTTGAGTACTGTAACTAGTATTTCATGCTTACATTGACCGTGTCTTTCTATTCCTCATCCTTCAAGGACAGGACGACTGGTCTACTGTAGTTCCTTCATGGAAAGATTGTGACTTCAATCAGACAGCTTGTCCAAACCTGTAAGTGTGTCTCGGATTGGTTACTGAAATTTATAATTATACCAAAGTGATTTTTATTCCTGTCAAATTTCTACTGGATGACTGAGTAGAATAGCGTGGAAAGATCATTTAATCCTTAACTATACAGTGGATTTTTTTGTCTCAAAATTTCAAAAGATGATGCAACTTCAATGGCATTTTGATTGGTTTTAAACTCTGCAGTTACGCTTCTGAGAGCATTCAGTTAGGTGCAAGTTGCATACAGGAATGCCACTGCCTGGAAGCACTCTCGGGACCGTACTTTAAAATCAATGCTAATAGTCCCCAAGACACTCTTTAAAGATTGTTTAAAGTCCTACTTTCATAAAAGAATTGAGATCTTCTCATTCAGAGTACTAGATGGTCGATAAGGTGCAGTATGCTGATGTATGCCATTAGTAGCTACGCTTCTCTCCGGCTTTTTTGAGAATTAGTTGATAAACCCCCCCCCCCCCCCCCCCCCCCCGTCTCGCGCCCCCCCCCCCCCCCCCCCCCCCCGCGAATATTCATTATAACATGAGGTATCCTCCAGATCCAAGAGAAGAAAGTCTCCCACCTAACAAAAGTCAAAATACTGCATAAATGAAAACTAACTGTCCATATTGGAGACTATTGACGAATATCCCTCAAGAAAATATCCATATCCAGAAAAAAGTACACAAAAAACAACCTGAAAAAATAAAATAAAAGTCGAGGCCTACACATGATAAAAACATCGATCAACCTCTATAATGTGTAAGCAAAGTCTATCTTTACTATTCTAACTCCAAAGTTTTGGTCTTGTGCATGTTCTTTCATTTTTGAAGTAAAACTAATATACCAAAGGACTAAACATCATTAATTGGAAAAAAAAAGAGGAATCTTGTTCATATTGCTGACTATGTTTATGCAACTGGTGGTTGCTTTCAGATGAATACTTCCTCTCTCGCCTGCCAATTGTAGAGAAGAGGCTCGCCCAAGGTGGGGTTCGCCTTGCTGCCACCCTCAATCGCATATTTCTTCGCCGTCGTTCTTCCATCTCTGCAGCCTAATGGAAAAACTTACGTAGATCACTGATATGACCAAACTTTGCTTCACAAGTCTTTCGCCTTGCTCTCATCTTTGCATAGCTTCCCCCTTAATCTTTCTAGCTCCATGAAGAAATGCAGAAGGGAAGCAGAAGCAACTTTAATGTTTTCTTCAGTTATTACCTGCAAAGCTTTCTTTGATTAGTTTCAGAAGATGCCTATGTTTATTCTGGAATCTGCAATGTCATTAGCTTGTAGAAACCAAAAGCTTCTACATGTGAGATAATTGAACAAGAGTTTTTGCACTCAAAGGGACGTGTTTGTGTGTATATTGCCTTTATTTGCTTCAGCAGAATTCTTGGGTCCTTACAGTGCTGGCTTTATGGTTTTTCCATGCCCATTAATTTGTTGAGATTGCATTATGGTTATAACCTTATTAAATATATAAAATTATAGACGACTGGTGTATAGTTGATTCAAACTAGCAAAAACAAGCTTCGGTAGTAAATGCTTCTAATCATTTATGGCTCATTTTGAAGAGACTGATTCTCTGTGACATTACTCTTGCTTCAATGCCATAATATTATGTGCATGAAATATTTTCCATCATTAATTTTTTTTTTTTACTGAACAAAGAATAGAAATAACCAAGTTGACTTTGCTGAGATAATACCACCGTTTTCTTCTATGTTGGAAGTTTAAAGGTTTGAATCTACCTACCTTCTTACAACGTTAGATAAGCGCTAGAAGCTGTCATCAACTTTTTTAGCAAATTCTACCCTCTTATTTCTATTATTATTATTATTATTTATTGGAACCAAGACAATAATTTATTTTATTTTATTCAAAATTAAAATTGCATTGCCAGGTGGTTTCTATAGAGAGGTCTGAGGAGGTGGTCTGCTGATTGTTGGTTCAAGCTTCTCCATCACTCCCTTGAGACCCGGGCTTTGCATAAACCTCTGCCACTTTCTAGCTTTAAAAAAAATTTAATAAATCAACAAAATTACTGAAAGAAAATTTTTAGATTCAAGTCTTATTTATCTCCATTTTTCTCTCTGTGATCTTAAACCAAATAGTTTCAGTTCCATTGGAAGAGATGGCAACAATGGCTCTTGGATCGAAAGGAGAGGCCTTTCAACTTGAAGGCCAAACATGGTATTTATTTATTTCATTAGTTCTACTATAATTTTCTTGGTTTACTTTGTCAATTAGTCCATTTTCTTAGAATGCGAAGAAAATTTGATTCATTACATTCATGAAATTCAAGAAATAATCGCTTTTATGCAGGGTTTGCAAGAATGAGCTTCCAAGTGATATTATTATTAATATAGGAGAAGTGTCATTTCATCTCCACAAGGTTTGCTTCTCTTCTTTAATTCCATTTTTCATTTCTTTTTACAAATGAATTATTTTTTTTCCTCCATTATAATATAGCTTTAAGCATATATTTATCAACTTATCGAGAGTTTACCTTAAAAAAATTGTGTATATTGATTTTTTTGTAAATTTCGTTATTACATATTTTCACTTTCAATATGTGAATAGGGATTCTTTAGGGAATGAAATAAGGACAATTTAATCATGAAACATTAGAATTTTAGTCCATCTATACTGTAAATATGGGCATACATATTAATCTAATTCTACTATACAAAACAAATGCAATGGCACCCAATGGTATATTTTATGTGTGTTAATGAATTGTGGAAGTCCAAGTTCCTGGATGTATTCTTCAAATTTGTTCCTTTAAGTCTTCATTTTTTTCCTGGTTTCGATAATAAGTAATCTAGGCTTATTTTTATTGAACTTCTTTGAATATGAGTACCAATAAGGCTTTTATGTGCTAATATTTCTTTCATGCAGTTCCCATTGCTGCGCAGGAGCGGCCTCCTGCAAAACATGATCAATGACCATCAAAGCGAAGATGGAAAAGGTTGCATTCTTCAGCTTCATGATCTCCCCGGTGGCCCTAAAGCCTTTGAACACGTAGCAAAATTCTGCTACGACGTCAAATTTGAGCTCAACACTCTCAATGTCGTCTCTGTGAGATGCGCAGCAGAGCATCTCGTCATGACTGAAACATATTTAGAAGAAAATCTCATCAAACAAACCGAACATTTCATCACTGAAGTCTTTGAACACAACTGGAAAGAGTCATTGCGAATTCTTGAAACCTGTCAATCTTTTCTCCCTCATTCTGAAGATCTCCAGATAATATCGAGATGCATTGATTCTTTAGCTGTGAAAGCTTGTGCTGATCCTACTATTTTTAGCTGGCCTTTTGTTTGCTCGGCGACTAATGGTAGGGTTATGTGGAATGGGATTGATGCTATTGGAGACAAGCCGAGATCACCAAAGGCTGATTGGTGGTATGAAGATGTTTCACTTCTAAGCCTACCTCTATATAAAAGACTAATTTTGGCAATAAAATCGAAAGGAATGAAACCTGAAATTGTCTCTGGATCTTTGAAGGATTATGCGATAAAGCACATACCGACGCTGAACACTATGCAAGCAAACGCAATTTCAGCTCAGTCTGAAACTGAGCAGAGAGTTATCATTCATGAGTTAGTCGAATTGTTACCAACCGAAAAGGGGGTAAATCCTACAAGATTTCTAGTATGTTTGCTTCGAGCTGCTATGATATTACACGCGAATCCTTCGTGTTGGGAGAATTTAGAGAAAAGGGTTGGTGCACAGTTGGATGAAGCAACGGTAGAAGACATTTTGATACCAAACTTGGGTTATACAGTTGAGACTCTTTACGATGTAGATTGCTTTCAGAGAATTGTGGAGAGTTTCATGTCAGTGAATCAACCTGTTAATGATACATATTCTCCCGGAATTGTTGATGAAGGGCAGTATTTGATTAATTCTACTCCTTCGTTGACGCCGATGACAATGGTGGCTAAGCTTGTTGATTCATATCTTGGAGAAGTTGCATCTGATGTTAATTTGAAATTTCCAAAGTTTCAGGCCTTGGCAGCTGTTATACCTAGTTATGCCAGACCTTCTGATGATGGGATTTATCGAGCTATTGACATATATCTTAAGGTAATTCTGTTTTGCTATGAGCTTTGACATATGTTGAAATGGTTCATATTTGATTTATGTGACTGTTAGACATCCATAGATCACATAATATGCAAAGATATCAAGCTAAAAACCCAACCAAAAAAAAAGCATAAAATCTTTAATGTTCTTCCTGAAGCAGTGGTATTTATGATCAAATTGAGATTTTCATAATTAGCATGTGTGAACTGCATCCTTGATTTACATGCATACAAAGTATTTTGCAGGACTACTTTCTCACTTGGAAATAATCAATGTCACAATTTTAGTGTGTTTCAATGTGCTTATCCTTAAGCTAAGTCTTCAAGTACCGAATCTTGTTAAAAAAAACTAATCACTGAAACTGTACTGATCATTTTCTTCCTTAATTTTCCGTTTCAGTCACACCCTTGGCTCTCAGACTCAGACAGAGAACAACTCTGCCAACTGATGAACTGCCAGAAATTCTCCTTAGAAGCCTGCACACACGCCGCTCAGAACGAAAGACTCCCACTCCGAGTCATCGTGCAGGTCCTCTTCTTCGAGCAGCTTCGCCTGCGAACCACCATCGCAGGCTGGTTCTTTGTATCAGACAACATCGACAACTCCAATGGCCACAGTAGCAATATTTGCGGGATTTCGAAGAATAACAATAGAAGAATGGTACAAAGCGAGATTTCGGAGAAGAATGGGGAGTGTGGGGATGAGGAGATGATGAATATGGAGAATGATGATGAGGTGAAGTTGAGGATTGCTCAGCTTGAGAAGGAGTGTTGGAGTTTGAAGAAAGATCTTGAGAAGCTTGGGAAGGGCAAGGGGTTTTGGAGAAGTTTGTGTAGTAAGTTTGGAGGGAGAACAAGGCAGGATTTTAATGGAAAGCAAGTGTTTATGGAGTGCTAGAATTGGCGTCTTATGAGTGAGTTCTTAAGTTTTTTTTTGAATTGTTTAATTTCTCTGTATTTTTTTGTGTTGTTCAGAATCTAGCGAAAGATTGCGCAGTGTAGCAACCCAATTTGTAATCTAAATGTCTGAGCACCTTGATAGGGTATGAATCAAAGGCCAATTGGTGTTCCTATGATTATTTCTTATTTAAGTTTGGTTGAGAAATTAGCTACTGAACTCCAGGACTGTCTACCTTTGCATCAGAATAAAACTAAAGGATCTGGCAATAGACTGATAGGGGAAAAAAATCTTCCTTTTAGAACACCAGATGTCCGTAAGGATTCTGAGTCAACATCAAAATAAATTTACTTGAAAAACTAGCTTCTGGATATTATCCACTAGACAACTACCTACCTTCTGCATGCAAAAAGCTATTTAAAGAGCACTAGATGTTCAGTGGACGTTATGATACATTATGATACGAAGGACAATTTCTCGTTTGTTTACACAAAATAAATCATTCTTTTTTCCAATCACATTGGTTTATCCATCTATTAACAAAGTCTACAAATGCAAAAGAAAAAACCCAAAGACTACTGTACTACACAGAACAAATGTCATTTACATAACTTAGTCTTATAATTCAGCCTGAGATGGGTCTTGGCAAGGCATCTGATGTTCTTCTAACAAGAGAGAGGACTGAGCTCAACAACCCGACGATGATCGCTAACTTCACCCGACCTCTTTGGGGAATTCGACGGCTAGATGAAGCTCTCTTCTCCATTGCCATCTCTCTCTCTCTCTCTCTCTCTCTCTCTCTCTCTCTCTCTCTCTCTCCAACAACCCGACGATGATCGCTAACTTCACCCGACCTCTTTGGGGAATTCGACGGCTAGATGAAGCTCTCTTCTCCATTGCCATCTCTCTCTCTCTCTCTCTCTCTCTCTCTCTCTCTCTCTCTCTCTCTCTAATGAATTCTAGTGATCAATGAATAGCTCAGCAAGTGAGCAGTTGAGAGCTTGTTGCTTGAAACTGAAAGTGAACTATAGAGTTCTTTAATTATATAGAGATCCTCATACAAAACTGCCCTTGTATCAAGTTAAAATTTTGCCAAGCTAGTTACTGGCTCTAGTGTGATTTTAGGAAAGAGAGAGTGTATAATGGTCTCCTGGATTTGATGGTTATCTCACTATCTGAGATTTCCTCCACTACACAAGTGGATTTTTTTTTTTTTTCATAATAAAAGATGTGATTTAGGCCTCTGAATCTAATCAAATAATGGAATCACTGAACCTAGATAGTTTGATCAGGTTACTAGTTGACATGATTATATTATGTTTTGAATTTCTCCATGTAAAAGTGTTTTACTTTTTCAATCAAGATAGTTTTTTATTTGGTAACAATATATAGTCTATCTTGGTGTACAGTCAACGATAGTTGGATTTGAAACAAATCATAAAGACTTTAGACATATTTTAATGAACTAGTATAATTTAGAAAATAGTCTCTACTCAACAAAAGATAACACTCATTTGAAACAACACTTTGAAGGAGTGAAACTAGTACCAATCTGCTCAGTGTCATAATTATTTTGCTTAAGATTAATTTTAAGCATTTTTCCTTTAAAAAGATTTAAGTACTCACTTAATTATCAGTAGAAAAGTGTTTCTTTTTTTCACTTTTAGACCTGGCCTTTTCTTCATATGAATTTGCCTTAAACTACATATTAACTATTTTATTTGGTAACTACTAGCTAAATAAACTTCAAATCTAAGCAATGATGAAGCTGTCGTGTCTGATCATATTGTGCAGGCCAATCCCTCGAAAATTTATATGGAATGCGGAAGGATAAATCGATAATTCTACATGTAGCAGGTAGCTCTAGTCTCATTATATATTTATGGACGCTCACTTTTATAATTGTGACTTTTATCAGATAGAAAGAAAAGAAACTTTAGTGCTGATGGAAAGTTACTGTGTCGAAAGTAAACATCTATCCGCTATAGTAATCGGCAACCGTAGATCCACTAAATATTACGGTAGCAATACTGTAGCAACAGTGGGCACCTACCACAAACTCACCTATATATAGCTCTCCCTAGCATTAAGTTTATATCATCCTAGTGTCTCCAATTAAGAGTGTCTCCAATTAAGAGTGAAAAAGAAAGAAAGAGGAAGAGAGAAAGAGTAAAAAATAGAGAGAGTTTCTCCTCAGAAAGAGAGATTGTAACACCAAAAAAAAAATTCCTCATAGTGGATTCTTCTATTATTGTCCGTGATTTTTACCCCAAATTCATTTAGGGGTTTTTTTATGTAAATCTGTGTGTTTATTTTATTACTTCTGCTCTACTATTCGCTGGGACTATGCTCTATTGATTAGTCCCAACAAGTGGTATTAAAGTCGAACTTAGGGTGCGTGTATCTGCTTATCGTATGCTCTGTGATGGTCACTAAAAGTGGATCATCCACATCAAAAAATAAGTTAGATTATTATTTATTCTTTGAAGGCATTGGACACTATTCACGAGTATGGTACTATTTTTACAAGTATGGTTACTATTCACGAGTACGGTTACTGTTCACATGAAATAGTAGAAGTTATCGTTCATAGTAGAAGCAATGGTGGCGAAATTCGAGATTGAGAAATTTAACGGGAGCAATTTCTCACTGTGGAAATTAAAGATAAATGTTACTTGAGAAAAGATAATTGTTTAGTAGCCATCGGTGCAAGGCCGGACGACATCACAGATGATAAAAAGTAGAATGAGATGGACGAAAATGCTATTGCCAATCTCCATCTGACATTAGCAGATGGGATGTTGTTAAGCATAGAAGAGAAGAAGACAGTAAAGGAGATCTTTGATACTTTAACAAAGCTATATGAGACCAAATCCCTACACAACAAAAGTTGCTTAAAAATAAGAATTTACACTCTAAAAATCACAGAATCTATATCGATGACCGACCACATCAACACCCTAAATACACTATTCTCCCTACTCATAACGTTGGGGCATACAATCGGTGTGAATGAACATGTAGGGCTTCTACTTCAAAGTCTGCATGATTCATATGATCAACTCATCATCAATCTAACAAACAACGTCATTACGGACTATCTAGTCTTCGACGACATTGCAACAGCCATTCTAGAGGAAGAAAATTGGCGTGAGAACAAAGAAGACATGCAGATAAGTTTGCAACAAGCGGAGGCCTTATCGGTGACAAGAGGAAGATCAATAGAACGTGGATCCAGTGGAAGTCATACTCATAGTAGATCAAAATTAAGAAGTAAGAAGAATATCAAATGCTACAACTGTGGCAAAAGGGGGTATGTGAAATCGGAGTGTTGGCATAATAAGAAGAGTGGTGATAAAAAGTCTTCGGAGCCATCAACATCTCAAGGATGCGTTGTCAGCACATCAGACGATGATAAAATTTTATACAATGGAGCAACCACTGTTGATGAAGACTAAAAAAGGTTTGCTGATGTCTGGCTTCTAAATTTAGCAGTTTCCTGGCGCATGACCTCCTGAAGAGAATGGTTTCACAAATATAAACCTATCTCAGGAGGAACTGTATTCATGGGCGATGATCATGCCTTGGAGATTTTTGGTATTGGCAAAAATCAAAATATTTAATGGTACAATACACACCATTCAAGATGTCCGACGTGTGAAGGGCTTGAAGAAGTATATTTTGTCTTTAGGACAATTAGATGAGCTTGGGTGTAAGACCCATATAGAAAACAAGATCATGAATATTGTTAGAGGGACGCTTGTTGTGATAAAAAGAGAAAAGATAGCTACAAATCCATACATGCTCAAGGGAGAAATCTTGTAGGAAGCTGATTCATGTGTAGCATCAACTAGCAGTAGAGAAGAACAAATCACGATGTGGCACCGTAAACTAGGTCATATGTCAGAACGAGGCTTGAAGATTCTCTCCGATTAGAAGTTACTTCATGTACTTAATTCGGTAGCTCTTTCATTCTGCGAGTATTGTGTTAAAAGTAAGCAACATAACTGAAATTCAATATATCGAGTTCTAGAAGCAATGTTATTCTGAAATTAAACATATCAACTAAAATCCATTCTGTGAGCATTGTGTTACAAGTAAGCAGCATCGACTGAAATTCAACATATTGAGTTCTAGAAGCAATGCTATTCTGAAACTAGTTCATTCTGATGTATAGCAAGCACCAGTTATATCCATGGGAGGAGCAAAATATTTTGTGTCTTTATTGATGATTACTCCAGGAGATGTTGGGTATATCCTATCAAGAAGAAGGCTGATGTGTTCTTAATCTTTAAAGCCCACAAAGCGTGAGTCGAGCTTGAATCTGAAAAGAAGATCAAGTGCTTGAGGTCAAATAATGGAGGAGAATACACAGACGATGAATTTCTTGCATTCTGCAAGTAAGAATATATCAAAATATAATTCAGTACTGCTTATACTCCTCAACAAAATTGAGTAGCAGAGCGAATGAATAGAACTCTGTTAGAAAGAACAAGAGCAATGTTAGCAACTACAAATCTGGATAAAGTCTTTTGGGAGGAAGCAGTAAAAACTATTTGTTATGTGGTGAATTGATCTCTATCAATCACAATACAGTTAAAGACACCGCTGGAGACGTGGACTGGCAAGCCAGCTGATTATTCCAACCTCCATATATTTGGAAGTCCAGTGTACATAATGTATAATGCCCAAGAAATTACAAAGCTAGATTCAAAATTCAGAAAATACATATTCTTAGGGTATGCTGATGGAGTAAAGAGGTATCGCTTGTGGGTTCCCACTACCTGTAAGGTTATCATCAGCAGAGATGTTATCTTTGTAAAGAACCAATTATAAAGTGAAGAGAAAGAAAGTTGTTCAAGGAAGAACTTGCAGACTATAGCTGTTCAGATAGAAAATGATCCAAATTCTTTTGAAACAACACCAGAACATGATGTACAAGAGCCAGTCGAGTCCGAGGCTCTAGAAATTCGAAGGTCAATTCGTAAGAGAAGACTACCGACTTGACACTCAGAGTATATTACGAAGAGTAATATTACATACTGCCTTCTAACAGAGGATGGAAAACCATCAACTTTTTTCATGAAGTTATAAACAGCACGGATGCATCTTTGTGGATGATAGCAATGCAGGAAGAAATTAAAGCTCTCTATAAGAATAAGACTTGGGTACTTGTGTCAC